CTCTCTAGGATTGTGGGTAGCGTAGTACTTCAGTGAAGATTTAGCAACAAAACATAATTTTTTATTTTTTAAAGTTGAACTCATACTGACATGTGGCTTCTACAGAAGCACATGCCATCAACAAGAAGTCTTGAATGCTTTACATGTTTTTAGAAGTTTGCTATGAGCTGGGTAAATAAGGAGAAAAGAATGAAAAAGTTACATAGCGGTAACACATATAGTCTATCTGAAAGCACTATTTTGGGCCTTATACAAACATATTTTTTGCATTATCGACAAACTATTTTCCTAATTAATGCTGTATAGTTGCTTTTACGCAATCTGTATTGTTAAAAGCGCTATATAAATAAAGGTGACTTGACTTGACATATGGAGCACAGTCGATTAAAGAGAGAAGAAAGGTTTTCACAGGCAAGCTTTCGGGTGGAGAAAGTGGGACTTTAGGAGACTTGACAAACAAACACGAGTTTCATCTAAAGCAATATGAGCAACAGAGACATCTGATAGCAGACAGTGCAATCAGAACAACTGTTTTGGGATTATTGCATTCAAACGTGCCACACTTTGATGTTTCTTTCTGCTCTTTTTTTGTCTCAAGCCCTTCAGCTTTCATAATCCGCCTTTGAAGTGAGCGACTTGGCAACAATGTCAGTGTGTGACACGCTTATTCTTACCGTCCAAACACACACAGGCTGTGAAAACCATTCTTTCCTGAACCATTCTTTGCTCTCTCTCTCGGTCTTATCAGTAATGCTATACATGTGTCTGGACTTACATCAACTACTCAGTCATTAATTAGACTCTCATTAACAGCAGTTAACACTCTGGACTCGGAACGCTGAGCACACTGAAGGTTTTGCGTGGAGAAACACACATAGTAATTGGACTGCAATCCCTGATTGATAGAGCCAGTTAGACTCTATTATACTCCAAATATCTGAAACTCGCTCATAAAGAGAGATTAGGAGATCACTGGCCAGGAGATAGCAGAGGTTCAACTTTTCTGGTGCCATGCACATATCAAAAGTTACTGTGTTTACTGGCTTTACATTATCATAACAGAAATATCAAATATAACTTTGCACAGATAAAGTTAGTAAGTGGCTCTACTCCATTTTCTACAAAAGTCTCGTGGCTGTGTTTAAAAGACAATATGTATTTAAGCATCTTGCTCCATAGACAGCATGCAATTACATGCAATTTTCATTTGTTATTACAAACTGAGGAATGAGTCAAAATAATTGAGGTTGTAATTGTCAGCATGATATTGTTAATGATGATGCAATGAGATGGAAGCAGTGCCAGATCTCTTCTTCTGTATTGTTACGTACATCTGAGTGTGATGGATTATCAAAAAAGAAAAAATGGGCAAGGACAGATGAAAGTGGAGACAGATGAACGCGAGCTTATGTGAGAAGTCCTACATATGTCATCAAACACAAATATGTTTCACCGGATGATGGATTCATGATATTAAAGGAGACCAAACAGTTAGGCTAATTAGGCTGTCACATGGCATGTAGTACTAAACTAAGCTCTCTTTCATGTCTTATTGCGTTTAAACTGTCAAATACACACAAGTTTATGTTATAAACGCACATAAGTCTCCTCTAAGACTAGGACTCTAAATAGTGTTCTGTGCTCTTCAGTGCAGCCAAAGACAGAACAGTTAGCATGCTTTGCTCTAAGTTTCACCAAGGCATTAAAACTGGTACACGGTTGTCGCTTGTGAAAACACAATGGTGGCGCCGTGGGTGGAAACGTGCAGATTAAGGGGCAGTAATATTATAATAAGCTCCCCTTTCTACCTCATGGGGGGAGCAAAATCTGAGAGGCTCGTTTTTTCACAAGTCTGCAGAGAAAGGCTCACCAAAAAAAATGTACTGGGTTGTTCTTTTTCACGTTTTCTGGGTTGGTAGATGCACTGGGGACCCGATTACAGCACTTAAACACGGAAAAAGTCAGATTTTCATATGTCACCTTTAAATTACAAGGTACACACAAAAAATATATATAAAAAATTAAGGTTACACTTTACTTGAAGGGGTGTGCATAAGACTGACATGACACCTTCATAATCATGACATGACACCTACATAATCATGACACGACACGTGTCATGAATATGAAGGTTTTTTATGCATGTTTATGACAACTGTCATTAAGTGTCATTCGCTCAGTTATGTAATTTTTAATGCAAATATGACATTATTTGACCTACCCCTACCCTTACCCCTAACCATAGCCCATAACAAAGACATCTCAAACAATGTCATCTTTGCATTAAAAATTACATAACTGAGCGAATGACACTTAATGACAGTTGTCATAAACATGCATAAAACCTCCTTCATATTCATGACATGTGTCATGTCATGATTATGAAGGTGTCATGTCAGTCTTATGCACACCCCTTCAAGTAAAGTGTTACCAAATATATCCATGGATTGTTGTTCACAATAACATCTATAACACGCATTTAGAAAAAAGATGGTGAATTTTCATTTCATGCCAACTTGAAATCCCTTTAAAACACAGACATTGCGATAGCACAGTAGAAAAAACCATGTTTCTAAAGGTCAGTATTTATTTCAGGAAAGTAATGAGAATGTTTTTAAATAATTTTGACATTGTATATCCGTGTCACACTGTATTAATAATGATCTGCAGACTGTGGGAAACACATGATACATGCAGGTCTGGAAAGATTGTTTAGTTTATGAGCTTATATGAAGCTTTCAGCAGCTGGTATCATTTCCACACTTGTACATCATTTCTGTATCTATCCTGTCAGACCCTGCAGATTTGACTCATTTAGATTGATAAAACACTGATCAAACACTGTTAGAAAAAAGATGGTGAATTTTCATTTCATGCCAACTTGAAATCCCTTTAAAACACAGACATTGCGATAGCACAGTAGAAAAAACCATGTTTCTAAAGGTCAGTATTTATTTCAGGAAAGTAATGAGAATGTTTTTAAATAATTTTGACATTGTATATCCGTGTCACACTGTATTAATAATGATCTGCAGACTGTGGGAAACACATGATACATGCAGGTCTGGAAAGATTGTTTAGTTTATGAGCTTATATGAAGCTTTCAGCAGCTGGTATCATTTCCACACTTGTACATCATTTCTGTATCTATCCTGTCAGACCCTGCAGATTTGACTCATTTAGATTGATAAAACACTGATCAAACTGGTGCTTTTGATCATAAACGGCGAGAATGGTTTAGAAATTAAGAAAGAAACTAAATCCTGTTAAACAGAAGGAGAGAGATCAGGAAATCTAATCAGTGCTACTCACAGTGTAACTTACTAGAACCAGTCTTTTTCAAGGAAAGGCAGTTCATTCTGTGGTCATCTTGGGAACACACTCGGGCAGCTATCTTCAGTCATGCAACTACAGCTCCTTTCTAATTGAATGGGGAAATACTGGAACCTCAAAAACTACTTGCAAACCTCACATTTTGATAACAATAACATATATCAAATCAGCAATAAATAATGCCATAAACTTTCACACTGTAAACCAAGAGTAGGCAGACTCCTTACAGACTCACGATTGGCTCTTTTAGTGCTGCATAGATAACTTTTTTTAATGGCCAAAACCCGCAAACGAGTTAACATTTTAGCGTTTCCAGTTCCACTGTTCTGAGCAGGGGCGTGTCTACGTGGTGGCCAGGGGTGGCACCGGCCGCCCCTGAAATTTGGCTGGCCATCCCAGGTGCCCCCCCTACCAGATGTCTTGCCATAGGCTTGTTTTTAGTAAATTTCTAATTTTAGGCGGTTTCTATAGTGTGATCTTAATGACAATGTAGAGTGCGCATAATGTTACGCGATCCATGTGCGCGAGGACGAATCTCTCCACTCCCAAGCGGATTTCCTTCACTCACACAAAACTGGACGTGTGCTTTTAACATACATCGTTCCACAAACACAAGGTTTGTTACTATTAGGTTTGTTATTATTGTACAGTTTGCTGTTAAGATTATATGTAAATTTACTATTTATCTACTATAAAACACTATTTTAAAATAAAGCTGCATTAATTATATAGAGACATATGTAAATATACTATATGCATAGAATACGAAATGAAAAAAAAAATACATGAACAGTTTACTGTCGCATTGTTTCAAATGGTATTACTGTTTTAAATACACCATGCTAGTCTTCCATTCTGAACACAACTTCTATTTCAGCATGTGTTTATGATGTACACATCGTAGTCACCGTTTTGGAGAGTGCAGGAAAAGCAGCGGTCAGATCCAAAGGAGTGATTTCTAATTCCGACCCTGAACACAGAGAGCATTAGAGCCTTGGTGACAAAACCGAGCAGTTCAAAGCAGGGGTCACCACTTCAAAACGCTCATAAAAACACCACACTCCAATCGGCCATGATCCCAAACCCTCTTTGAAAGCTCCACAAAGGACAGCAGAGTCATGTCTACTCCATAAAAGCCCGGGCCAGACTCCCGCACTCTGTACCGTCTCCTCTGTCATGCAAAAAGGCATGTTGGAAGTCTTTTGTGTGGAGTTGTTTCAGTTGTTACACACATAAAAGAGCTGAAAACACTCAGTCAGCCATGATGGATTGGTCAAGACAACGGAACAACAAATCATCTGGATGAATCTAAAGAAGCCTCTTTGTTAAGGGTGTTATATGTTAAGCTCATTTTTATTGCCAACTTATATGAAACTATGTTGCTGGGCCATATTCTACACTTCTGTTGCTGAAATCCTCTTATAACACTATGTTTGGTCACAAAAAATGTGCAGGTTTTTCATGTGCATTTTCTACCCTTTCCCCGACCCTTTTTTAAAATGAATTAAACAGGCAGTTTTGCTACTGTACCTTTAATAATTCCTTATGTAAATTATCTCAGGTGTGATTGACTAACGTCTTTGCATATGAAATAAGTTGCAATACTGTCGCCTATTAACGGTCTGCTTGCTGATATGATTACATTATGTGTATGTGCGTTTCTTGACCTTGTTGGATTGGTCAGCATCTCTGTTGATCTGTCTCCTCTCCTCATCCCAACGGCCCTGTGCTTCCTGCAGTTGTCTTTCTAGACTCTCCTGCGTCTGCCGGCCGTCTTCCTTGACGCTGCTCAGAGACATCTGCAGCTCAGCTATCACCTGTGTGGACACATCCAAACACAAAATATGTCAACAGCAACAGGCTCCTGAGCTCAGTGATCAGTAAAGCTCCTCAGGGTTTGCTTTAATTACTCAGATAATTGATTCTGCTGAATTTCTGCTTGACCAGCTGGAGTCAAAGTATCCAGCAATGTCTTTGAGGTTTTCAGTAGATCTTTTGACTGGAAGCTAAGATCTCAATTCAGCTGCTGGTGTTACACAATCAATCACCTCTAATATATGCTCTGAATGCAGATAAACCAATAAGCACATGAAATGGGTGAGAGGTTCAGTATTGGAGAAAGTACCATTTAACTACAGTCAAAATTAAAAAAAAAAGAAAGCTACTAGCAAAACAGACCAAACTTCAGTAAAACAAATAAAATATTATTCCATAAACTATATGGGAATATGTAAATGTGAGCAGTATTGATGTGATACATAAATAAAAATGATGAGAGTCTCAATCTTGAATTAGCATAATTTACATGAAATATACCAATCATACACTGTAATTAATTTTTAAATGACTGAAAACACATAGTAATTAATTAATTCTTTATTTTTGCTACAGAAAAGACAATACCCATGCAATTACTTTTCCTTTGTGAATGAGTTTTCCTTTGTCTCTTTGGAGTGTTACAAGCTGTTTGTGCATAGATAAGATCCGTAAAGTTGCAAAGACTGAAGTCTCAAACCCAAAGAGATATTCTTTATAAAAGTTAAGACTCCTTCCTAAAAAGTCTAATTTAAACATGCCCCCACATGTCTACGTCACTGTGTGGGAAGATTTGCATAACACCGCCCAAATGTTCACGCAAAGAAAGAAGGCGTAACTTTTATTCTCGCTGTAGTATTGTTGCCGCCGCATCGTGGAGACGCTGTGTGTGACCCTGGAGCACAAAACCAGTCTTAAGTTGCACGGGTATAGCCAAAAATACATTGTATGGGTCAAAATTAAAGATTTTTCTTTTATGCCAAAAATCATTAGGATTTAGGATATTAAGTAAAGATCATGTTCCATGAAGATATTTTGCACATTTTCTACCATAAATGTATTAAAACTTAATTTTTGATTAGTAATATGCATTGCTAAGAACAACATTTGGACAGCTTTAAAGGCAATTTTCTCGATATTTAGATTTTCTTGCACCCTCAAGAGTCCAGATTTTCGAATAGTTGTTCTATCATAACAAACCATACATCAATGGAAAGCTTATTTATTCAGCTTTCAGATGGTGTATAAATCTCAATTTCGAAAAATTTACCCTTATGACTGGTTTTGTAGTCCAGGGTCACATATGGTAAGGGGCGTAACATTCCATCACACGCTTGAGGTATTCGGCCAATCACAACGCACTGGATAGCTGGCCAATCAGAGCACACCGTGCTTTTCAGAACGATGAGCTTTGTAAAAATCGACGTGTTTCAGAAAGGCGGGGCAAAGAGTAGCAACAATAATGTACGGTATGTGGAAAATAATGTGTTTTTTTAACCTTAAACCTTACATTAAACCTTACATGCAAACACACCGCATTACAACAAATACACAAAATAATGTTATTTTTAGTATCGTCATATGACCCCTTTAATATACTTTAAAATATAATTTATTCCTGCGATGCAAAGCTGAATTTTCAGCATCACTACTCCAGTCTTCAGTGTCACATGATCCTTCAGAATTTATTCTAATATGCTGTTTTATTATCAATGTTGGAAACAGTTGTGCTGCTTAATATTTTTTTGGGAATCAGTGATACAGGATTCTTTGATGAATAAAAAGTTAAAAAGTACAGCGTTTATTTAAAATGGAAATATTTTGTAACAATAACCACTTCAAAAGTTTGGGGTCAGAATTATTTTCTTTATTTTTTTTTAAAGGAAATTAATAATTGTATTCAGCAAGGATGTGTTAAATTAATAAAAAAATAAATAAATGCTGTTCTTTTAAACTTTTTATTCATCAAAAAAAAAAAAAAATCCTGAAAAAGTATCACAGGTTCCAAAAAATATTAAGCGGCACAACAGTTTCAACACTGGTAATAAATCAGCATATTAGAATGATTTCTGAATGATCATGTGACACTGAAAACGGGAGTAATGATGCTGAAAATTCAGCTTTGCATCACAGGAATATATTAAAATAGAAAAATATTTCACAATATTATGTTGTTTCTGTATTTTTGATCAAATAAATGCAACCTTGATGAGCAGAAGAGACCTCTTAAAAAAAAAAATATATATATATATATTTTTACTGATCCCAAACCTTTGAACGGCATTTTACTGTACATTACTACTGCACTGTTTTAATTTTATATTAATAACCGAGCTAATGACACACTACTGAAAAACTTGACATGATTACACTGATTATGCATAATAAGCACCGTTGTGTGATGTCAACACCTTAAACTGCGTTTTTTGCAAGAAAGTCTTAAGCAAAACTTGATTTTTGCCAATTACCCCAATTACTTTTCATGTTTATCTGTATTCTGCCATCTTATGCAATATTTACGATTCGATGTCAAGACCATAAAAAAGTCAACAATGAAATTCAATGTAATGCATTATTGGCTTTTAATAATGAACAGATTTGAATGGTTATCGTTTTGTTGTCCATGCAAACACTTAATGACTGTTAAAATCTGTCAAGTGCAGATAAAGGTCTAGCCTCTAGCCCTTCCAGCGTCCTGTCAGAATCAGTGTTGTTAAGGCCCAAATGAGAGCTGTACAATAAAATCCCAAATCACCACCCCTGCATCAGTTGCTCTTCACATTTCACACACACAACCCAAACCGAAAAAGAACAGAGGAGCATAGAGAGAAGACGGACTGTTTAATGAAGCTCTAGCGAGACGAAAATGAGAAAAACTGTCCCTTTGAAATCTTGCAGTCCAAATTCAGATTCTATTTCAACTGCAGCCAAGAGAGCAGCAGCGGCAGCAGCAGCACTGCGCAGGGCAGCGGTGCAGCTCAGGGCTAGACAGATAATTGTTTATTGCACAGAAATGTTCAGAGGAATGGTTTTACTGGAATCCGTTCATTGTGTGGGAGTTGGGAGTGAACTCTTGGAGCGGACACAGAGGGAGAGATTAGGCTTATTTTGTCAGTGGGCGAACCACATGAAAGCACCAAACGCCCCATTATTATGGTAACATAAGTTCTCATGGTAATAATTATTTGGCTATACAGATTCTTGCATCAAGTCTTTTGCCTGAAGGGACACACTCATCCCTCGATTGTTATTCCTTGCTCTTGATATTTGGGAATTTTGGCCTAATGGCTTCAGCACATCTTCTTTCATTTTAAAGCTTCTCTTTAGTTTGAGGGAAACGTTACACTGTAGCTACGAGGTCTTAAACGGTCATCCTAATGTCTTTTTGATGGATGACTGATGTACCAATATGGACCAAAAATATATGTAAACGAAATAAGATTGAGAACTGAAAGCTTCAGTGACATAATGATACATTAGGGAATCATCCGAAACGATGGATCAGCGATAGATCAACACACAAACAGTTAATCAGAGTTTCTGTCAAAACGCCACAGTTACTACAGTAGATACTAGTAGTAAAACTGTGGTAACTCCACATCAGAACTTACTGGAATCAAAAGAGAAATGACACAGAACAAGATTTTTAGATTTACTGTAGAAAATGTAAGCGTCATTCGTAAAACTTGCATGTTACAATGTATGGTATTCTGGTCAGATTCTTCAATGTAAGTCTATAGAGTTTTTGGTCACACTTTATTTTAAGGTGCAATTCTCGTGATTAACAAACTATTAACTACAACCTTTGCCACAATTATCTCCTCATTTGCTGCTTATTAATATAAAGGTAGCTGTTAAGATTAGGTATTGGGTAGCATTAAGGATGTAGAATATGGCCATGCAGAATATTTGCTTTATAAGTACTAATAAACAGCCAATATGTAAATAATAGGCATGCTAATAAGCAACTAGTTAATAGTGAGAATTGATCCCTATACTAAAGTGTTACCAATATCACACCTCTAGTTTAGAAGGTATCAGGAATTAGAAGAGACCAAAAACATTAAGAGCTAGCTTCGATGTAGTGGTTTGAAGTTATTTAAATACATAACAAAAAAACCCACTTGTAAATAAAATAATTTAATCAGACATACTGAAATAGATCTGAAGCACCTTAAAAAGACACGAGTGTAGGGTTGTGATCTGTAACTTGATCAGATTACTCTAGTAGCGTGCACTAAAGTAGTGCATTACTAAATTTACATCACAATATCCAAGTCAAAACAGTAAAAGTAACCGTAGTAACTATGGTACTTTGGTGGTTACTATTGTAAATGTTTGAAAAAGAAGCAACACAATTTATTTGAACATATATTAAAGCTAAACGTGCGAAATGTGAAAACCACAGAGATGTGGTATCTTCATATGCACATGCATAAAAATGAATAATGCAGCCGCTCTAGGACACATATCCATATGATGGCGGTGGTGAAAGGAGAGCTGTAGAAAGCAAAGCTCTGTTTGGACAGCACCTTGCCTCATCATTAGCTGGAGAGCTTCAAACACTAGCAAGATTAAAGGTCAGTCAACGAGGAGCTGGATTTCCAAAATGCTAATTAAAAACACTCTAGTACAGTGCACCCTCAGAGCCAGAGCTGAGATCCCTCTAGACAATGTATGGCATGGTATGGATTTAATTGGTGCACTTCATATGCAATTCCACTGCTTTGGGCATATCTGAGAGATGTCTGTTGATGGCATAGGTTAGTATGTGCTTCAGAAGTTCAAAGAACACTTGTCTATATAACCTTGCAATGCCTTATGGGACACCACAGCAGCAGCAGAAGTGTATTCTTTCATGGTTACTCTTCCAAGGCCAAACGGACATATTAAAAGTAAAATTTTCAAAAATGTTCATATTGCTTTTCTTACAAGGTGATAGTCCAAAAAATGACATAAACACTCCATAATTTCTATGACCACAAAACTAAAAAAAAAATGC